CGGAGGTGGGGGCCCCCCGGACGAAGCAGGGATTCCAGCAGTGCCACTGGGATGACCAGGTGGAAGCGCTGGGCCTGGAATGCAGAGAATACGAATTAGCCGTGAAGCGCAGCCACGTCCTCAGGGCCATGACCTGACTGCGCGGTGAGCGAGCAGCACGAGGAAGCACCAAGAACGCAGAGGAATGGGAAACGCTGGTTGCACCAATGGTCAACCGACTACAGTTGTGTCCTCCTGCAATACCCTGTTACTGATAAATTAGCCTCCTCCCTCCTCTTCTTCCTGGCTTCCCCATTTGTAAGTGCCACCTTCTGCTCTGTGCATGGCTTTCCACACGGAGATAATTAACTCCATCAGCCAACACCACGGACTTGGGTCAACATCAGTTTCGCACTGGAATCACAGGCTACAACAACACGTCCTTCTGTCTGTTGAATGGAAAACATGGGGGGCTCAGCCAGCCTTGCAAAGGAGCGGGGGAAGCATCCAGCTCCACGCACCCCAAGGTTCAGCAAAGCTCCTCGGAGCAGCAGCCTGTTGGAGGGACTGATGGCGGGTAGTCCTGCTGCAGCGTTCTGCCTGTCCCTAAGGGGGCAGCTGAACGAATCCGCCTCTCCCAGGGTACTTCCCCACCTTACACTCAGAACAGGCTGCTCTTGCTACATAATCACAGGTTCAGTGGTTCAGTAAGTGCTATTTTGAAAGACGGGCGGGTTGTGACTACGGAACATTTGGAAACAGTATTTAACGTTGGCAGCCTGGTTTTCTTCTTATCTAGGTTTTTTTTACAATGCTGCCCTATTTCTGTGGTTAATTCTGCCATTATTTCACACTCCCTGATTCCATTCTTGAAATGAACCATAGCTGCTATTGGAAATACTTTCAATGTTTCAGGCCCTCGTTGGTTCACGAACATAATGGCTCGTAATTCATTGTGGGTACAGTTAATTGTAATTGCAAAACTACACCCACCTAATTAGAGGCCAGCCTGAGGCAAAAATTGAACTGAGTCAAAATAATGGACTGATGTGAGTTTAAAATAACTTTATTGAACTAACTGGATTTCAAGGACTTGTATCAGCTGAAGGACTGAGCCTCCAGTGGTTGCTGTAATCTTTTTCGTCGAAAGTGAAAGGAAGCGTCTGTTTTCTTCCCTTTCTAGGCACATCATTTAAGCATTATGTGTGGTTGTAAACAGGGACGGATCCAAGTCACAAAACGTATCATCTGAATTGCAAATGGGCACTGCCCATAAGTGTTCAGACTCTTCAGAGGAGCACTAGAAATCAAGACCGCGTGCAAAGGGGCAGACCCAAGCTCTTCGTCTGCCTGCAACGAGAAAGGTTGGCTGGGATAGTTACAGCGACAAGCCTTCAGCTGTAAATGCAGTTCAAACCAGAAAGCAGAGTTTCTAGGATGAAATAAATTCCACAAGCACAGGGGATTCTGGGTAACTCTAACAAAATCTATGTTATAGCTTTTGCTGGTAACAGAAACACCACTCAAGAAAGAAAATCACAACCTCTACGAATAGTGCTACACAGACACGAAGTCTACTGCAGACCTGGCCTCCAGCTTCGGCAGAGCCCTTCCGCTACCTGCGGAAGAGCCCTTCCGCTACGTCTGGACCAGCTGAGTAGAGGCTTTGCAGGAAGCTCACTGCCAAACGCAGTTTGACTCCGCTGAATGATAAACAACTCCCTCTGGGCTAACAGAGTAAGAATATGCATTGCAGCAACCCAGCCTCAGCGCCTTGGGTCCTGTAATCCTTGCTTTTTGCCTTGCTTTTAGCTTGGAAGATCCCTGGACCAGTCCTGAGTGATTTTGATTCTTTTCCACCTTGATTTCAGAAATCATGTGCAGCAGGAGTAGCCTTGGGCCTCTCAAGTCCTTTTTCTAGCGGTCACAGGCAGGTCCAGCGGGGCCTTGTAACCAGCTGAAAGCTCAGGCTTTACACAGGTCGCAACTCATTCATTCACAATCAGTACTTACTCAAGTGGGCAATGGCTGATGAAGTCATGTAAGGAGGGGTCCTCCTGGGCAGTCACCTCAGACACAGCAGCGTACGGGGGAGGCAATGGAAGACAGTGTGACATGGGCTGACACCACTGCTGTGGAGGACGAGATGATGGATGGGAGGATGGGGAGGGAGCCTGGCCAAAGGAGCTAGGGGGGCTGGCGACGGTGGGCAGCAGGGAGGAGGGTGCAGCTCCTAAGTGTGGAAAGAAGGACCCATCCATGCTTTTCACCAGGGTCCCAGAGGGGCCTAACGCAATTTGTCCTTCAGGATGGCCATTCAGAAGGACGTCTGCTGAGCTCTCCTGGCCTGCTTTATCCGTGGGTCCCTTCACCCTGTCAGGCAGGACAGGAATCACAGGCAGGATGGTGGGAGCACGTGGCTGCAGAACGTCACCCCTGGGAGGGGGGCAAGCGGAAGACCGAGGAGAGCAGGAAAGAGAAGAGCGCCTGAGAGGCTGGTGAGAGGCGAAGGGCAGGTGGGAAGGATGGGGAGGCGGTGGAGACAGTGAGGTTCGCCTGATGTCTGGCATTATGGTCCTGCGGTTTGGGCAGGCCGGAGGGGAGGAACCTGGGGCCGTTGGCAGCTCAGAGGCCGAGTGCCTGTGCAGGAGCTGCGGGGAATCTCTGGCTCTCCGCAGGGATCTGAAAGAGGATTGACTAGCGGGACTGGAGACAGCAGATGCCGAAGAGGTAGCGCTGGCATGCAGTGGAGGGGAAGGCCCAGCACCAGTGGCAGGAGCACTGCAGTCCCTGCAGGCAGGAGGAGGCGGCTGGGGCTGAGAGGGGAAAGAGCACACGCTTATCGGAAGGGTGGAAGCTAAAAGAACAGAAAAGACAAACGAAAAGAGTAAGATGGGTACTTGGCAAGGAACAAAACCAAAGCAAAGAGGAATGGAGAAAAAGGAACCGCAAAGTAAATGCAAGCAGAAACTCAAATAAAGCAAAGAGGAGATGGTGCAGGCACCGGCTTGTGGGTTTGCAACCCCTGGCAGAAGCGGAGGGCTGTGCGGAGCAGGACCCTGGCAGCACGGGTAGGGCTGCATGCTCCCGTGCCAGTGAGGCTCCTCCAAGCCCTGCGTGAAGCTGAGTCAGGATCGTGAGCATCACCCTTGCAGCAGGGGCAGCTGCAAGGGACGTTCTGATCACAGCAGTGGCCACCTCACAGCCAGAAGCCCTCAGGACCCATGTCCTGCTCCTTGCGAATGCCTAGGCAGGATTTTGGCTATGTTCCCTATGCAGAATAGCACACAGTAACCTTTGCCAAAACAGAGTCCAATGACTAGTGGCATTGACTAAGGTATGTGTGTATGTCTGAGCTGGTTTCAAGTCAAAAACTACAAAGTTGTACCAGCTGAGGAAAAACATTTCACTTATGTGGCCAGATTAACTGAAAAACTTCCCCAAAACAAAAGCCTAGACAGAAGATGGCCATCTCAGCTTGCTTGCTCTGCCTCCTTTCTGAGAGGCAAAAATGTACCTTGTAGTTATAAGCTATTCCTGTCACCTCTTCTCTCAGCTTAGTGCAACTTAATATGTTACAGAAGATTTTTGTAAGCTCATTAAATATATATATTTTTTCCATTAAGCTCACAGAAGACTCCTCACTTCATGACCACAAAATCCCCACTGATGAGCATCTAGAGCTATATTTTCCTCTGTGCTGCAGTTTGCTTTGTGCTGCAGAGCCATAGGGAGCATCTGACCTGGCATATCCAGATCAGCCACCCCTTTGTGCCAGCACACCCTGGAAACACGGTGTCACTCTTCCGGTGCCTGTGCTACTCCTCATGGGTGTGGAATAAGCACAGCCAGGCCCCCTTGGTACACCTAAAATCCCCCTCAGCTGTACAGGCTTTGCCAAGTGCAAAACCTGCCTGGCTCCACCTGCATGTCCCAGACTGGAGCCTGTGTGAAACAGCACAACCATGCCCAAATGCACCTAAGTCCCTAGCTGAAAATGCTTTAAAGTCTAATCATAACTGTAACCACTTCTAGCAGTCTAGCTCTTGCACAGCACCACGCAAACCCCAACTACAGCTAGAGGAGACAAGCAGGGAGAGAGTCTACCTGCTTGGTTTGATACGTGCCTGTGGTAGAGGTTCTTCTTTCCAGGGATTCCTGGCGCTGTTGCTGTTGCTCCATCACTTGTCTAAAACAGCAACGAAAAAAACCTCGGTCATTATGTATTCTTTATCATTTTAAGCAAAACCTTTATACACTGAGAAGCACTTGAGCTGTATGTCTCAGGAGGTGTGAGCCAGTCCCTCGCAGAAATGCTGTTCCTCTGTGATGGGGATGGGTTTGACTTCACTGGCCGAAGAATAGCCAGGACACTGCCCTGCCGGCCATAGAATCATGGAATGGTTTGGGTTGGAAGGGACCTTAAAGACCATCTAGTTCCAACCCCCCTGCCATGGGCAGGGACACCTTCCACTAGACCAGGTTGCTCAAAGCCTCATCCAGCCTGGCCTTGAACACTTCCAGGGATGGGGCATCCACAGCTTCTCTGGGCAACCTGTTCCAGTGCCTCACCACCCTCTCTGTGAAGAATTTCTTCCTGACACCTAATCTAAACCTCCCTGATTTCAATTTATACCCATTACCCCTTGTCCTATCACTACAGGCCCTTGTAAAATGTCCTCTCCCAGCACCCTTGTAGGCCCCTGCAGGGGCTGGTCGATCCACGTAAGGTAACTCCTCAGCAGGCTCTGCAGGAGGAATAGTCACTGCGCCAGGGCCCGGAGACCACAGCAATGCGTGTTGCTAACTTGAAGCGGATGAGCGTTGCAAGGGGTGGCTAGCATAAAATAACACAGTCCTGAGCCTTTTACAGACAGGGAGACCAAGGGACTTGTAGTTAAAATGAAAACGTGAAGAAGGTTGATCTGCATCTAGGTGCTGACTGCACACACCCCGTTTTGCCCAGGTGCACAGCCAAGCCCTTAGCTGGCCCCGGGCAGCATGGCTGCCAGCCTCCCCCTCACGCCCCAGCACAG